CAACTCGTTTGAATGATTGTTTCACTTAGGACCAAAAACCACAATTTGTGAGAAAGCTTCTATTGTTTACTAAATGCTGGATTTCTGATAAACTTTGTTGATTTGTATGATTCATGCTTTATCTTTTTATCATTATGAATTTGTGTAAGCATTAGAAATGATCAAGGCACGTGTTTGTATTGAGCACAACCATGTCAAAATGCAACTTACCCGTGAGTAGAGAGAATTCGTTAACCCCCTTGAGCCTAAACAGTATGGATCTTAGTTTGAGTTTGTGTGAGATTCTAAACTTTTTTCTTGAACCCGTGAATTTGTTTTAATTGTCTTCTTTGCCATAAAAAGCTAAGAGCATTCACTTGAGGATTGAGTAAAATTTAAGTTGGGGTGAATGAAAAAGAAAGATGGTAGGTTGCTACAACTTTTGAAAAATCCAAGCAAGCACCAAAAAAATTGTGTGAATATGAAAAAAAAAAGCAAAAAAAAAAGAAAAGAAAAAGAATGCTTGCTTGGAAAAGAAAAATAGTGAAAGAATAAGATGTGAAATAAGGTTTGTGAAGGTTTGCAACTAAGAAACAAATGGAATGAAGTTGAGGTGTGTAAATAACGTGTTCGATGAATGTCTCTTTTGCATCAGCAATTTCGTTTCAATGGCCTTAGAAATGTCCCTTGTTTGTAAACCCGACCAAGCTATAACCTTAAAGACCTTAGTGATCTTCTTACTTCCATATTTTCGCTTTTGATTGTTAGATTTTGTATGAATTGAATTGATATTGGCATTGTTTGTTAGTTGAGTGAAATTGTCCCTGTGGTTGCAAACACGTAATTTCTTCAATCCTTATTTGAAGAGGAGAAATAGAGTGATTCATTCATGAAAAATATAGTTGTTGATTGATACATGTCTTAATATTTGTTTTAAGAATTTAGTTCTTGTGCATTGTTTGATTCTAAACATTTGAAACCATGGCTTGTTTGCATCATTTGTGTTTGAGCCAATTTTATCCATTCTTGGGTGAATCTTAAACTTGAGCAAATCCTCTTGTTGCGAAATGAGAGGCATACATTGCTTGAGGACAAGCAAAAAGCTAGTTGGGGCGAGTTGTTAGATGCCAAATTTCACTTATTTGATCTATCAAAAGTTGGCATCTTTCACTCATTTTTGTCAAGAAAGTGTTGAAAACCGCTCTTGTTTTGTTTGGTTTGCAATATATCGTGAAAATCTCTTGGTACCTTTGATTTGTATGTTATTGTGCAGGAATTATGCACAAAACAAGTGAAAAGTAAGACACAAGAAATGGGCAAGGAAACCAAGACAACATGCAAACCAACAAAATGATGTCATGCTCGCTAGGCGAGCTGGTAGCAAACAAAATGCTGTCATGCTCGCTAGGCGAGCTGGTAGCGAACAATCCCAGATTTGGACAGAACCGAAAGTATCATAAGTTCGCTAGGCGAAATCAGAGCGAAGGCTTCACTAGCTGCTCGCTAGGAGAACAAGACAAATCCTGAATGGGTTATTTAAGTGTTTTTAGTGCTTTTTAGGTCATAATTCCATTTTGTAACATTGAGAAACATGAGAACTTATTTATCTTCATTTTTTTAGAGAGAGAAACACAAAACCCTAAGAGGGAGGAGGTAAGATCTTCGATCTCTTGTTGGGGTTTGGATTGTACGCTTCTGATACCTTATGTATTTCATCTAATTTATGTTTGTGAACTAGTTTGGATTCTCTATTGAATGATTATCTTTGATTGCTTATTTGTGGGTCTTGACAAAACCTTTTCACATCTTTGATCTCAAGTTTTCTTCTATCAATGAACAAACTTTTGACATGGTTTTGAAGTTGATATTCATTGTATCTTCTATGGTGTTGTGTTGGTTAAGTAGCATGGGTAGCATGAGTAGGATCAATATGATATTGTGTGGATATCTGATAATAGTGATGAAGAACGATGTTCACAACCATTTGGCGGATTAGGTGAATACATGTAAAAAGGGTTAAGCGGGTGTACATATTTTAATCATTGTGTTTTATTCAAAACAATCATTTATCCTATATGGGTGTTATCTTTTCTTTCCTGTTTATCTTTGATTTGAACCGTAATAGAAATATACTTTTCAGATCTAGATCTAGGATGATTACCTGTTAGGTCCTAAATTCTAGAGATAGGTTTAGGCTTAGCATTTGCGTGAGTATCAGTTCTTAATGCTCTGTGTTGTGTTTTTGTTGGATGAAACAACATGGTTGTTCTCTCGACGCTGCATTAGAGATAAGCTTTGTTGAGAGTGATACGCAAGGGTATTAGGTGGATGATTGCGTTGTGTTTAATTTGATCAGAAGAATGCATATGTTATCAATTGATGAGATCCAATCCCAACAAGACTCTGTTTATATTTCCGTCTTAAATTTTTATTTTCTGTTTTTATTTATGGTTCCTTGAACCTTTTAAACCAAAACTTTTGAACAATAAGCTTAGAAATTTAGAGGCCGTTGAACGGTGTTCATATCGCACTAATCCTTGTGGAGACGACAAAACTGGATACTTAATATTTTTTTTTGCTTGCTGCTATTCTGCACTAAAACGTATCCAGGAAGACGTTGGCTTAAACCACATTTTAAAGAAGGAGTTGTTGCGTTTCTTACATATGCATTTGCTCAAGAATGTTGTCGAAGTGAATGAAGGGTAATATCCCCATGTTTAAAGTGTGGTTGTAGAAATATAATTAGTGACACAAATGAAGTGAAACGTCACTTGGAGAAATATGGTTTTAGGCCAAATTATTAGGTGTGGTATTCTAATGGAGAAATACTGCCGGAGATGAATAGAGAGGTTTTAAGCAGTCAAACACATGTTGGAGTTGAGATAGGTAGAGAGGCATCAAGCAGTAAACCACATTTGCAAGACCAGGAACAATTTAATCTCATAGATGATATGGTTGGTGATGCATTAGGGGTGAATGTGACTTATGATGAACCTCAAGATTTTCATGCAGATGAGCTCCTGAACAAGGAATCGCAAAAGTTTTATCAACTATTGAAAGAAATAAATATACCATTGTTTGAGGGGTCTTCTGACTCCATGTTATCCATGTGTGTGAGACTCTTAGCTGTGAAGTCAAATTGGAATGTTCCTGATCAGTGTTTAGAATTCTTTGCAAAAATGATGTTGGATGCGACTCCTGTGAAAGAAAACATGCCTACAAATTATTATGATGCGAAGAGAATGGTGTCGAAGTTGGGACTAAAAGTAAAAAAAGATTGATTGTTGCATTGGAGGTTGTATGTTGTTTTATGATAACGAGTTTGGTACAAATGATGGGGGATTGGAGGAATGTAAGTTTTTTCAGAGTTCGAGGTATTTAGCTCGCAGTAAAGGTGTTGATCAAAAACAAAAACGACTTGCAGTGAATTCCATGTTCTATCTGCTAATAATTCCTAGATTGCAAAGGATGTTTACGTTAATTCACAGTGCAATCCAAATGACATGGAAACATACAAATTCCAATAGTTCAGGCATGATGCGACATCCATCTGACGGCGAGGCATGTAAACACTTTGATAGAGTACATACATATTTTGCAGCAGAACCCAGAAATGTCAGGCTCGGATTATACTCAGATGGTTTTACTTTTTATATCCAATCGTCAGCAATTGCCTATTCTTGTTGGCCAGTTATTGTTATCCCGTACAATATCCCCCCTGAGATGTGCATGACGAAATCTTAAATGTTTTTGATATGCCTCATTCCAGGACCGTCAAGTCCAAAAGCGGGAAGAGATATTTATTTGCAACCTTTAATTGATGATTTGAAGAGGTTGTGGATTGGAGAATGGACTTATGATGTGTCTCACAGACAAAACTTTAATATGTGAGCTGCTTTGATGTGGACAATTAATAACTTTCCTTCATATGGCATGTTGTCTGGTTGGGGTACGCATGACAAAATGGGATGCCCGCATTGCGCGGGACACACACAAGCGTTTACTTTGCAAATGGGTGGTAAAAGTTCATGGTTTGACTATCACCGTAGATTCTTACTTATGAACCATGTTTTTAGAAAGAAAAAAATAAGAATGCTTTTAGAAAAGGAATAAAAGTAACATATCTTCCTCCCCATCGCCTGTCATCGATTAAAGTATGGAATAATGTTAGTGACCTACCAAAATTCATATATAATGGTAAAACATGTAGGATTCCAGAATATGGGGATACTCACAATTGGACAAAAAGAAATATTTATTGGGACCTCCCATATTGGAAGGATAATTTGTTGCGACATAATCTTGATGTTATGCATATTGAGAAGAATTTTTTTGATAATATATTTAACACAGTGATGGATGTCCAAGGCAAGAAAAAAGATAATGAGAAGGTTAGAAAGGACTTATAACTTTTGTGTAATCGAAAAGACTTGGAGTTAAAACCTCAACCAAATGGAAAATTATTAAAACTCAAGGCTTGTTACACTCTTACTCCCAAGAAGCAAAAGCAGTATGTGATGGTTAAATGAGTTGAGGATGCCCGATGGTTATTCTTTTATCTTAGCAAGATGTGCTGATGCAAAAATAGGAAAGCTGCATGAAATGAAAAGTCATGATTGTCATGTTTTCATGGAACGATTGCTTCCAATTGCACTCAGTTCACTTCCTAAGCATGTTCTTAATCCACTAATTGAGATTAGTCAAATTTTCAAAGATATTTGTGCATCAACTTTACGAGTGGATGACATCTTTAAGTTGGACCAAAATATTCCCATCATTCTCTACAAGTTAGAGCAAATATTTCCCCCAGGTTTCTTTGATTTTATGGAGCCTGTCCCTATGCATCTTGCTTACAAAGCTTACCTTGGTGGACCTGTTCAATATAGATGGATGTATCCATTTAAATGATTCATGGGTGATTCAAAGCGATCAGTGAAAGTAAGGCAAGAGTTGAGGGATCAATATGTGCACATTATTTGCATCGAGAAACTTCACATTTTTGCTCTCATTATTTCAATCATATGATGTTGACTCCGAGAATCATAAGGAATGAAGTTCACTTTAGTGAAAGAAGTCAATTCACCTTATCGGTTTTTGGCCGTCCCAGCCGTCCTTCTGGAAAGACAAGTGTGCATTGGTTGCCTGAAAAAGAAATGCAATATGCTCATGTTCATGTGTTGATTAACTGCGTTGAAGTTAAACCATATCTTGAGTAAGTATATTAAATTAAGTTTGTATTTTTTTATTAAATATACTTGTCAGTTTAACATAGATTTTTTCTTCTTCGAAATAGGACATTTAATACCTATTATTTTCAAAGCACGGGTGAACAACCATCGACGGGTTACACACATGCCTATTTTCTTGAATGGTTCAAGCAACAATTACATTGCATTGTTGCACCAATTCCTGGAATAATTCATTTGAGAAGTTTATTTGAAAGCCCTCATCAGCGTGCAAATGAATGGCACACGTACTTTGTAAACAAATATAAATTTCACACTCAAACATGGACAGAAGGGAAGAAAATAGTAAACAGTGGTGTAGTTGTAAAAGGAGTTACAGAGAGTGGTGAGGACGACTTCTATGGTGTTATCACACATATTTATGAGTTAGTATATAATTATGTGGACTCAGAAAATAAATTTGTCCTATTTTATTGTGATTGGTATGATCCATCTTCCAGAGGAACTAAAATAGATTAAAAAAATATAACACTGTTGAGGTACGAATGGATAGAAAGTACAAAGAGTATGACCCTTTCATAATGGCACATAATGTTAGGCAAGTTTACTATGTTCCTTATCCTTCAATTCAACCAAGTAAATGAGGATGGTGTGTTGTATTCAATTCCAATCCAATGGGTTATATTGAATCAGACGGTGTAATGGAAGATGATGTTGCATACCAAGATGATGAGATTTCACCAGTGAATGGGATAATTGAAATTGAGGAGATTACAAGTTTGGGTGATACTGTAGTTGTGGGTCAATAAGTTGACGCAACCATCTTGTTATCAGCAAATCATGTGGAAGAAGAGGAAGAAGAGTCAAGAGACTCTAAAGACAACAATCGTATCTGATGAAGACAGTGATGATTACGATGATGAATAAATTAAATAATATGTATTATGTAATTATACGATTGTGTAATAATACTACTATGTAATGCGTATTGTTATAATACTATTGTGTAATTGCTTGAATTAATTTACTTTTGTCATTTTATGAAATATTTTAGTTTAAAAATGTCACCCCGAAGTGAGGAAAAGGGTAAGGGTAAGGCTCGCCACACAAGGTTCATTATAGAAGAGGTTCCTGATTCGTCTATGTTTATTCCTATGCCACTTTTGAGTCAGGTGCATCCTACTCCATTGCATGTGCACCCTACTCTACCACCTATACAGACTTCACCCATGTCTGGTGGATCTTTCACCGGATTACTATCCACACCTGATTTTCCTTCATTCCCACCGATATCTGCGCCGACCTTTATTAGTCCTCCTGGATATGCACCTATTATGCATCCCAGTACCCCGCATCCCTCATATTTTCTGATGCCTTCCATGCATTCGAGCGGGCCTAGCTTTCCGATGCCTCCCATGCAGTATTCTATGCCATATACGGAGGTTGGTGGATCTAGCACGCCACATTTATCACTCGTGCATTCTACGCATGATGAGCAAGATGATGAGCGTGATACTAGTGTTGATGGTCATGGAGGTACCAGTTCTTATGATCATGGAGATACTAGTGCTTTTGATAGTGCTCACGAGGAGCGAAAGGGGACATGCATTCTAAGAAATGCAAAGCCCCAAACAATTAGGAAATACAAGGGCAGATATGTCATTCGTTGCGATGGAGGAATATATGTTTTATATATTATTTTTTTTTAAATTTAAATTTGAGTTTTTTTTAATGTCAGTACTAACTCAATATTTTTTTGTTTAGCCTTATACCATAGCACCAGGCAGTATCGTGTATAAAATAAGTTATTAAGGAAAAGTATAAAAAATTTTGGCCGACATATGGAGCACTTCTCGAAAAAGAGAAGGAAGATTTGTTTGGTTTATTTCAGGTATAAAAGTAACTATTATTTTAATTTCTTATATATTTAGTTTATTTCATGATTTTATATTATTTAATTTTTTTAAAATTCATAAAACAATGTAGGAGAAATGTTTTTGGGACTTTACAGAGCAGCAACAAGCAAGAGAAAATTTGATACAAAATGTGCTGCCCGATTATCTGACACGCTTAGACGTGTTCGAATTAAATGGGAAAGTAAAGGAACAAGTCCCTGTTGGATAGATGAAGATGTATTTAAGCAACTTATTGACCATTGGAATTCGGAAACCTTTAAGCAAGTATTTGAAACAATAAAAAAAAAAACAGGGCATCTGAAGTTGGTGGCTGCAACTATGCAGCAGGAAGTATTAATGTTGTTGAAATTGCACATAGGCTGGTAAATTTATTTATGTTTTTACTTAAATTTTCATTTAAAATTTAGATTAAAACTAACTATTTTTTCACTTATGTTTTATTTTATTAGCGTGATGAGTTGGGTAGAACTCCGATGCTTAATGAGATCCATCTAGAGACTCATATCAAGAAAAATGGGGAGTTTGTCGATAAACGCTCAAAGGACACTCAAGTAAGTTTTGCTAAAATTTAGCCATTTTGTTTCTTTCTTTTATAACATCTTATTTATTCATCCTTCCATTTAGTCATCTTATTTAAATTATTATAACATCTAACTTTTATTTATAGGAGGAGTATGATCAAAAACTTGCACTTTCTTTATCTGAGCATCCTGAGTTACCTCCACCTGTCGTACCTCGAAAAATACGATCCTCGCGATGGCCGCGGAAAATACTGTTCGAAAAGAGTCGCCACCGAACTTTATTCATTCCAATGCAGGAATAGGAAAATATCGATAAAACCTTTAAGGAGATAAGAACATGGTCATCGCAACCAATATTCTAGGTTCGGGAGTCGGTTACGCAGAGGGAAGGTATTAGCACCCTCTACGTCCGTTGTACTCAACGGGAACCTCTTGATCGATTCGAGAGTAAAGTTAGCTATGCTTGTTTGTTTTCTTCTAAGGTTTCTCCTATGGGGGGAATGGATGGTTAAAGGATAGGGTGCTCGCCAAGGATTGGGGCCCTTGTGCCTACGTATCTTCACTTGTAAGAAGTGGAAAATCAGAGCATTCGTAGTTCGTGGGACTACGGGAAAAAAAAGGGGATTGTGCTCGCCAAGGATTGGGGCCCTTGTGCCTACGTATCTTACATTCGAAAGGGAATGAAGAATCAGAGCAGCCGTAGTTCGGCTAACTACGGTAAAAGGGTGGTAAACGAACGAGTGTTTAGGTCATATTCTAACTGCTAAACATTGGCTTGTCTGCTCACTAGGGGAGGCTGAAGCACGAGTTTGTTATGCGCGGAAGAAGGGACTAAACAATGTTCTTTGGCAAAAGGTATGGGAACCTAAAGGTGGGAAAGAAAGAAAAGTGGAAAAGTGCTCGCTAGGATCATCGCAATCTTATGCCTACGTATTCTCAACAGATGTGAGAAATCAGAGCAGCCGTAGTTCGGCTAACTACGGTTTTCTAAAAGGTTTGTATTTGGAATGAACGAGAGTTTAGGTCGCATTCTAACTGCTAAACGTTGGCTTGTGTGCTCGCTAGGGGAGGCTGAGGCTCGAGTTTGTTATGCGTGGAAGAATGAACTAAACAATGTTCTCTGGTAAAAGGTATGGGTTGGAGATCGCACGAGGGCGAGGAATCTGTTTTTATCGTATTGGATGTTTTAGTTAGAGGATATATTTGAATAGGTTTAAGGTTTTGATTGCACGGGGGCAAGAAGTATGAGTTCGATTAGGTAATTTGATGGAGAATGACGACTATTTGATAAACGAGCTGTCAGCCTCGCAATCAATTAATCGGGGCATTATTGGAATGTTGTATTCCAACGACACCTTTTTCATTCCATTAATTACGAGATATGTGTTTTGAGAAAGTTTCAATCACACGAGGGCGAGAGAAGAGAGTTGGATTGAATATTTTAAGGGAGAATGACGACTACTCGATAAACGTGACGCCAGCCTCACAATCGGTTAATCGGGGTATTATTGGAACGCTAGATCCCAATGGTACCTTTTTCATTCAATTAATTATGAAAATGTATTGGAATGGACAATAACGATGTTTTTCCAAATAATTAGGGCACGTGTTTTATAAACGAAAGGTCGAGTAAACCACAACCTAAAGCGTACGCCCCAAGAGTAGTTACTCAAGAGTTCAAAGAGTGTGAGACTCCAAGGACTCAGTTCTTTCGTAATTTAATTAGGAAAATAACTTGAATTTGATGTACGGTTTAGAGACATACCAGGGTTTAGACTCGATCGCACGAAGGCGAGGAACGAGGTTAGACGAGTTGAAAATTTAGGAGGAACGACGACTATTCGATAAACGGGACGTCGGCCTCGTAACCAACTAGTCGGGATATTATTGGAATGCTCGATCCCAACGATACCTTTTTCATTCGAAATATGTTTGATGGATAGTTTAGACGCGACAGAGTTTGAATTGAAAGAGATTTTGATTCAATCACACAAGGGTGAGAAACGAGGTTATGCGGATTGAAAAATTATGAGGAATGACGACTACTCGATAAACGAGACGTCGGCCTCGTAATCAATTAGTCGGGATATCATTGGAATGCTAGATCCCAACGACAATCTTTTTCATCCCATTAATTATGAAATAGTGTTTGTTGGACAGTGAATACTTGCCCAAATAATTATGGAAATATTTTAGAAACAAAAGTTCGAGTGACGCGCTATTCGAGGCGTACGCCTCTATAGTAGTCACTCTCAAATTCGAGGAATGCGCGACTCTAAGAACTCGATTCTTTCGTGATTTAATTTAGAAAATAATTTGAATAGCTTAGCGTACTCGGACTAGGCGCGCTAGGTATTCTTGAAAATAAGATCGGAAGGGTCACAACTCGAGCTGTGCACCTCGAGAGCGGTTGCTTAAAAAAATTCAAGGAAGGCGAGATCCAAGAATTTAATTGTTTTAAAATTTGATTTTGAAAAATATTTTAATTTAATTAAGAAAAATAGTCTTAATTTTCATATATAAAATTAATTAATTAATTATTTATAAAAATATTTTTTGAGAAAAGCTAGTAATAACTAGTTGTGTTGAGAAAAGTTTAATATCTTAAAAAAGTTTTAGCTTAACTAATAAAGTATAATTTTCTAGAAGTTTAAAATAATTATTTGGTAATAATTGATGAGATTTATATATTTTTTAAAAGAATAAAAACCTAACGAATAAAGAAGTAACAAAAAATTGTCAATTTATTTTTAGAACAACCTTCATGCTAATTAAGACATAAGAGCCACATCAAACATCCCTTATTCAAAACAAGTTTCTCATGTAAACACAAATAAGTTAACTGAACAGGCAATGAAATAAAGAACATCTTTCCAATTGATCACCCTCAACTAATCCATATAGAAACTTATTTAAAAAAAAAAAAAAAGAATGGCAATATATTCATATAAAAAAAAAACTCAAACCAAATACATATATCTTATTTAGATCTATAGACATACTTCTAAACACACATCAAGTGAGATATATACACTTGCACAGTATAATCGAAAATTTTAAAGCGAGACAAAACTAAAACTTT